TCCCTTTAAATAAGAAACTTTAACTTCTGAGAGACAGTTACAGCAGACAGAAAAGTTGTTTTATACAGATCCTCCAAAATGGGGAATAAATGATCAGATCCAGGTAGCTTTATATCATCTCAAAGGATCCTGTAATTACCTTTATTTCAAACTCTGGAGGTGGAAAAAACACACTAAAGAAAAGGAATAAGTACAACGTGGTGGGTGCTGTGATTTGCTACCAAGATCTCTTCAGAAATGAAGGATTCTCTCAGCTGCTTCTGTCCACTCCCTTGGACATTACCTCGCACAAGCCCAGCACCAGAGCTCCCCCTGAGGTGCGCCAAACCCCTTGTTGGGACTGAATCACAGCCCAACTTCTTCCTCTGCTCAATCCATCTTCCCTCACTCTCATTTCCTAGCTGTTGGTTCCAAGATCCTACTCTCCCTCCCGGTAGAGCCCAACCTGTGACAGCACAGATGAGCAGCGTTGATCATATCTGATTTGAAAATGAGGAGGAGGAGCACATCCACAGTAGTGTGCAATATTCAAAATGAAGACCAGTTTTAGCATATATCCAGAAGAATTCAAGCCAGGGTCCCAAGCAGATATTTGTACACCCATGGTCATAGCAGCATTACTCACAATAGCTAAAATGTGGAAGTAACCCGAGTGTCTATCGATGGATGAATGGATAAGCAAAAGTGGTATATCCATCAATGGGATACTGTTCAACCTTTAAAAGAAAGGAATTTCTGACATATGCTACAACATGAATGCACCCTGAGAAAACTGTGCTAAGTAAAATAAACCAGTCACAAAGGGACAGATACTGTATGATTCCACTTATATGAGGTATCTAGAGTAGTCAAATGCATAGAAACAAAGTAGAATGGTGGTTGGCAGGGGCTGAGGGAGGGGGGATGAGAGAAAGGGGAGTTGTTGTTTAATAGGTATAGAGTTTCAGTTTTGCAAGATCGAAAGTTCTGGATATTGGCGACCCAATAATGTAATAGACTCAACATTATTGAACTGTTAAAAAAAATTAAGATCTAATTTGAGAAAGAAATATTGATGCTGCAGGCAGAGTATATATAAAAATAAAAGAAAATATTGGCACAATATGCATGGTTCAATTTTTGGCGAGGCAATGATTAGAGTTCCAGAAGAAAATTTCACAATTCTGGTAATGTATGGAAGAACATTTATGCAGAACATGAAGATCGGAAGCAAGTGATGTTACACATTACTTAGAGGATAACATTTTAAAAAAATCATTACGATTACATTACATGTTTGATTAATGAAATCATTTCAAATAAAACAAGAAATACTAAATATTTCTGCACTATTTGTTGGTAGTTAATAAGTCAGTTAACAATTATTGCTACATTTCCAGCTTACACCTATTTCTACATATAAACACCCTGGGGGATTTTGTCCAGGAAATGACACAACCAGAGACTGATGGTACACACATTTAGTGAACTGCTTACCCAAAAAAATCTGGTAAAACATAATTTGAAAGGCTAGGTATTTGCAAATGTGCATGGAAATGAAAACACATATGGAATCTTATGGAATGCAGCAGAAGATCCTTGAAAATATTCTAAGCATTCAAAATTCTAATGCACTCAACACACTTGTGTGGACACTCAGACACCAGGCAGATCAGGACAACCCGATGGATGCTCCAAAAGGCAGGTCTTTGGAGTGAGGTCAGCACCTCCTGATGTGTTTCCCTGCTCTCTTCCTGGAGGTGTGAATCCTTATTCTGCACATTTTTTAAACTGGGTAATAAATGATGCAGCAAAAATTTCTTTCAACACCACTGATTTTTAAAATATCATTCAAGCACTCTACAACTACTTTTCCACTTCTAATAAATGTAGGAATATATGAAATCATATTTGTCAGAAATAAATTCGAAATTGTTCAATATGCAAAGGGAAAGTTGATTTGGTGGTATGAGACCACTAAGAATTCTTTTTGAGGTAGGGGACACTCTTAGATGTTGTTCATGACATTAATGAAGATTTACGTGTTAGAACATATGCTAAAGTTACACCTTGAAAAATAACTTTTTTTAAATGGTTTTTTAAGTGAAATTAATATTTTGGGCAAAATAATGCAGGAATCCAGTTCAGTACTCCTAATGCCCTGACAAGCACCAAAGGCAGAGGGATAAAACAAGATTGGCGGTATGTTAATAATTGCTAAGTCTGGGTGACAGGTACATTATTCTCTGTACATTTGCATGTGTTTGAAAATTTCTACAATAAAAAGTTTTAAAAATAGCACCTTAATGGGTACCACAAAACATCCTCAATTTTGCTCAATCTCCTAAATAATTAATTCCTTAATTACTAAAGTTTAATTATAAGTTGAGCATACCTAATCAGAAAATCCAAAATGCTTCAAAATCCAAGACTGTTTGAGTGCCGACATGATGCTCAAGGGAAATACTCATTGGAGCATTTCAGATTTCAGATTTTTGGATTAGGGATGCTCAACTAGTGTGTATTCTGCAAATATTCAAAAATCCAAAAAATTCTGAAATCCAAAACACTTCTGGTCCCAAGCATTTTGAATAAGGGATACTCAACCTGTACTAAAAAGTGGTTACAAAAAGAAAAACTCTGGGTTCATAAGGAACTCAGAGTTCATATTGTGTAACCCTCTGTGGATGCAAGAGGCCACTGGGTCTCCACTTGATTACCTCCTGTAATGGGGAGCTTCCTACCTGGTACCTTGAAGTCTCTGAAGGTACTTGAAGGTTACCAGAGTCAAAAACACACACACACACACACACACACACACACACACACACACACACACACACACACCAGGCTGGTCAACCTGCACATAAACCTCAATCCCTGACACTGTGAAACACTGAGAATACTCCCAATGCCTCCATCTTCCATGGAGACTTCAGAAAATCCAGCCTCCTTCCTAGCCAGACTCCATTCTCCAGAGGTCCTAAGCTCCACTATGTGTCTGTCTGGACTTCCCCCCAACAGAGAACCTGGGAGGGAACAAGGGAAGCAGAAAGAGTAATCGGGGTGCAAAACAGGTTCTGGGAAGTAAGGTCTGATGGGAGGGGCAGAGGTTTGGCAAGATGAGGGCAAGGGAATCTCTGCCCAGTGAGTGTCCACAGTGGCGGGGTGTCTATTTTCAAAGAAAAACTGGAGTGGACAAAGTTAAACAGGCAAAGGAGACTTTATTCAAGATTATTGCAATAGGGGAAAGAGACTGAACTCAACTCCACTGAAACAAAAGGTGGGAGGGTTTTAAAGCTCTGGGCGAGGTAGTAGAAAAGTACTGGAGGATGACAGATGGAGGTTAGTCGATCCGATGCGTCCAGCACATGGAGTTATTTCTGACTTTGTGGAAGTTTCTTCTGTGACTTGGCCTTCTGTGTTTGCTAATGTCACTTATTAAAGTTGGGCTCCTACCCTCCCATAGAGACTGAGAGATAAGTGTGCCCATCTCCCTTCATGATTACATTTCACAGGGATGGCTCCCAAGTCCTCATAATGACATTCCTGGGTTGCAAAGCTGGCAGGAGGCCAGGAGAAGATTTACCTATGTTTCTAAGGGACAGAAAAAGAATTTGCAATTGCAAGTCTTCTATAGTAAGTGCTCTAAGAAAATGGAGGTCAAGGGTCTAGAGTTATAAAGAACATTGTGTAAAGTTTAGTCAAGCTGAGGGGACAATTAAGACCTCATCGGTCACCCCCATTGTGTTGACTCTATCTCCTCCATCTCTGGGTCTGTGATTCTATGTCTCTGCACATGCTGGTGCCCACCCTACCTGGCACAGTGGATGGGTGTGATCCAGACAGGCAGCATCTCCAAGCAAGAAGTGAGACAGGTCGGGAGGTGCTGGCCTGGGGTCTCTGCCCAAACCCGAACCACCTACTGGGCCCCCATTGTGTTGACTCTATCTCCTCCATCTCTGGGTCTGTGATTCTATGTCTCTGCACATGTTGGTGCCCACCCTACCTGGCACAGTGGATGGGTGTGATCCAGACAGGCAGCATCTCCAAGCAAGAAGTGAGACAGGTCGGGAGGTGCTTGCCTGGGGTCTCTGCCCAAACCTGAACCACCTACTGGGTCATCCATCTGAATGTGCTCATCTGCTTGGCGTCTGAATGTCCACATGGGTCTTTGTCCTCGGGAATCAGGACATCCCTCGGGTTGTTTGCTGTGTCTCTGTCTCTGATGTTTTTATTTCACTCATTTAATAAACACTTATTAAACACCTTTTGTGGGCATGTCCCATCCATCGGGGTATTCATCTTCACCTCTGGGTTTGTCTGTGTGTCTAATTTGCTTCTGTCCACACCGGGTTGTGTCTGTCTTCCTGCATCTCATGTGTACCCACCTCTCTGGATCTCTGTTTGTGAGCGTGTGTTGTGTGTGTGTGTGTCACTGTTTCTCTCTTTGTCTCTTCCCCCTTTCTCTTTGTCTTTCTCCTGATGCCTCTTGGTTTGTAAGTTCATTCGTCGATTTATTCATTCATTCATACAGTATCACAAACATCCTCAGGGACCCCCGAGGAGTGCGCAGCCTGATGGGGGAGAAGTACACTAGATCAACTTAATTGGACTGGGGCTGGGAGACAGGGAGGTTCTTGAGACTGAGAATGGGTGGCTGAGGGTCAGAGAAGGTGATGATGTGTGGGTCTTTGGGTCTGTAGATGTGGCCCCAGGATTAGACGCTGTGTGCGTCTAGTGTGTGGATGGCATGTGTTGGGGTGGGAGAATAGGAGAGGCCAAATGTGCCAACCTCAGACTAGAACACAGTTCAGGGTGAGGGTAGGAACAGAGCCAGCAAAACACAAATTCCCCCAAAATTAAGGGTTATAGGCCTCCAGCCCCTTCTCTCTCAGACCCAGGAGCTCAGATCCCCAGGACTCATCCTGGCCCCATCATGATTACCTGGGAGGAGACCAGTTCACGTGAGAGAGGGTGGGGGTGGAGGAATCCTGACCAGGCTGGGTAGTCTGGATGCCTAGGGCTCAGCAGGGAAAACCAGCTGGGCAGCAAATCAAAGCGGGAGGAGCTGTCCTAGGTGCCTGGTCTCAGCTCCACACTCTGGCAATGAGGGTCACCAGAGCCATTTTGCTGTGCTTCTTTGGGGCTGTGCTCTGCCTAACAGGTACCCAAACTTCTGATGCCAATAGTAAGAAGGGGCTGGGGGTCTGGACTCCTAGGTCTGAGGGGGGGGAGGGCTCGGACTCCTGAGTCTTGGTGGGGGAGAGACCTGGAGACTACGTCCTCTTCATTTCTCTTCCTCTCCTCTGTTCTTCCCCCATCAGGCATTTCCTCTGATGTCACTCTTCTTGCCACTCTAGCCTTTCTTATCCTCCTTGCCCACCCTCCCCACCACCCAAGGGTACTTCTGCGGAGCCCTCAGGGCTCTTCCCCAAACTGGCAGGGACCTTGGCCTCATCTTCAGGCAACCTCTCTCCCCATTAGGACAGGGACACACTCATTTCAGAATATAAGTGGCTACAAAGACAGAAAATCAGAGAAGTAAGAAGGAAACACATTCAATTTGGGAGTTTGGTTTCCGTGTGTATCACTGTGTCATTGTGTCCTCGTGGGTCTCTGTGCTTATGTGTGTTCCTCTGTATCAGGTTTTGATCTCTGGGTTTTGAACAAATGCCATGTGTCTGTTTATCTCTGAGCTCCTCTTTGTAAAAAAGACGTGTGTATAATTTTGCGCATGTGTCTGTCTTGGTGTTTGTGAATCTCTGTGGTTTTGCAAGCCTATATTTATCTCTGTGTATATGTGTTTGGGTATTTTCATATTTGTTTTTCTGTCTGTGTATCTGCGTCACATTTCTTGATGTATTTTGTATCCACATATGATTTCAAACTGTATGTTTTTGTGGTCTCGTTTTTGTATATCTCTACCTTTGCATAATTGTGGTCTCTCTATACGTTTGTGTCTGTGATTCCTGGGTTCCTATTTGTCTCTCTCTGGCTATGATTTCCTGTGCTCTGGGCTCCTTTCTGTGTTGTTATTATCATACATACAGCTGGGGCTGGCTGTGTTTGTGTATCTGTAGTGCAAGACTGTGCATTGCTCTGCCCGTATTGGAGTGTTTGTTTTCCACTGGTGGTCTTTGTAAGTCACAGGCCACTGTAAGTCATGAGGTCATTGTGGGGAAGGATGGGCCGAGCAAGAGCAAGAGTGAATCACTTCCTACTCCCTTATCTAAGTCGTGGAGGGCTTCCTGGATGAGGGTGGAGATCTGGAACAGCCTAGAGGGAAAAAACTGGAAGGGCAGCTGCAGAGGTCATGACTCTGCCGTGAGATAGACACAGCCATGACCAGCAGCCATAGCAGATCCTGTTTCTCGCAAGGCAACAAGGCCCAGTTTCTCTCAGAGCAGAGTGGCCTGGTCCATGTGGGCAGTATGGCCATCATCTGCAGGGTGGACCCCTGAGTTCCTAGGACAGGCTCAGCCCTGGTCCTGCTGACCTGGCCCCTGCCCCTCTCCTCAGGGTCCCAAGCGCTGCAGTGCTACAGCTTTGAGCACATCTACTTTGGCCCCTTTGACCTCAGTGCTATGAAGTTCCCCAACATCTCCTGTCCTCAAGCATGCTTTGAGGCTGTCCTGTCCCTGGACACTGGTGAGGAGGGGGATGTGCAGAAGAGGAAGGGATGGGGGAGAGGGACAGGAATCAGAGATTAGGGAGGGAGAAGAGGGGAGGAGAGAGAAAGGGAGGGGAATTTGGTAGAAGCAGAGAGAAAGCATAAGAATAGACCAATAGAGAGGTGGAAGAAGAGAGGAGGAGGAGGAGGGAGAGAAAGAAAAGAACGGATGAGGGACAAGAGGTGGGGGGAGGGAGAAGACAATGGCGAAACGGGAAGAGGAGGTGGGAAGAGAGGGGCAGAAAGGAGGAGGAGGGGGGGGAGAGAAGAACGCGGGGAGGAAAGGTCCGGACGAGAGGGAGGGGAGAGGGAGGAGGAGCAGGTGATCGCGCGAGAGGAGTCGAAGGAGGAAGGAGAGAGCTGAGACTCGCGGAAGAAGAATCGGGGGGAGGCGAAGACGAGGTCCCCTTCCCTCCCGCCGCCAGGGTACCGCGCGCCGGTGACCGTGGTACAGAAGGGCTGCTGGACAGGCCCGCCTACGGGCCAGATGCAGGCCAACCAGGACGCGCTGCCGCCCGACTACTCGGTGGTGCGCGGCTGCGCCACTGACTTGTGCAACGCCGACCTCATGACCCACGACAGCATCCCCAACCTGCGCCCAGGTGTGCTGGGGGGCTGGGCGGGGCGGGGCCCGGGCGGGCTGGGGGCGTGGCCTCCGCTGAGCGCCTCCTCCCGAGCGCTCTAGGATGCCAGCCCCGAGGTCAGGCCAGCACGGCGTCCTGGTGCAGGGTGCAGCCGCACGACCGTGCCCGGGAACCATGACCTGAGTGTGCGTGCGCTCTCTTGCCAGCGCCCGACCCGCCGACACTCAGCGGCACCGAGTGCTACGCCTGCGCGGGGGTCCACCCGGAGGACTGCGCCCCCAATAAGTCCCGACGGGTCCAGTGTCACCAGGACCAGAGCGTCTGCTTCCAGGGCAATGGCCGAATGACAGTTGGTGAGGGGCTGTAAGGACGGAAGGACCTGGGCAAGGAACGTGGAGGCGGGGCAGGCCTGAGGGTAGAGGCATCAGACAGGGAGATGTGGCCTGATGTGACGCATGGCTCGAATCTGAGAGAAGAGGCACGGCCCTGTCCTCTAAGGTGGAGGTTCAGGTGCAGCTGCCTCCCTCAGTCCTGATCTCTCCTCTCTTCCCCTCCTATCCCCACCCGCAGGGAATTTCTCAGTCCCTGTGTACATCAGAACCTGCCACCGGCCCTCCTGCACCACCATGGGCACCACCAGTCCCTGGACAGCCATCGACCTCCAGGGCTCCTGCTGTGAAGGCCACCTCTGCAACAAGGACACAGTGACCCAGACCTTCACCACTGCTGCGGCCACCGTCCCTCCGCAGGCGCCCCACATCATGGCCCTGCTCCTCACCGTTCTCCTGCCGGTCGGTGCTCTGGGAGGACACATCAACCTCTCCACATAGACAGCCCCTCCAGGATGCCGGGAGCAGGGTCCACGTGCTTCTTCCTCCCTGCTTCAACCTCTGACATGTGGCTCACTGAAAAATGATATCAAAATAACAGTGGCCCTCCTGTTCCTCTGACCATTACCCTCCATCTCTCACCATTCTGCTTCCCTACTGTCACACTGCCCCTAGCTGGTCAGCAAGCCTGGGGGAAACTCGACATGGTCACCAGCATTCTGGGGTAAGGAGAAACAGCCTCATCCTGCCGCACATGAAGAGCAATTCTGATCACAGCTGCAACTTACTGAGCAGCAACCAGGCACCAGGCACCCCATGACATGGCTTTCTGTGCTGTCGCTCCAGAGCCTAGCCACAGCTCTAGAAAGGAGCTACGGTGGTGTATGTATTAGTCTCATCATGAGAGGCCGAGAAGCAGTAAATCCTAACAGATAGAAGCCCAGACTCTGGAGCTAGACTGCACACCCCAAATCCCAGCTCTACCATTTAACCTGTGGCTGACTGTGGGCAAGGTTTTTAAGCTTTCTGTGCCTATGTTTCTCCACCTGAAAGGTGGAAGTGAAAATAAAGCCTGTAATAATGCCAAGACGTGCTTCACAGTCATGGTGAGGATTAATTGAGATGAACATGTAGTACCTAGGACACAGCATTTGCCTAGTATCAGTGGGTTATTGTCATGTCACAGATGAGCAAACTAAGAAAGGAAATTGCTTGGGCTCATGTATAGAGTGAGTGGAGAGTCAGGAGTCTGATTCCCAGCCCCATGAACCACTAGGCAACCCCACCTCCCAAACATGTGGGTGTTGATTAATTTGACAGAAAAACACAGGAGACAAAGCTGAGTGTGGCAAAATTCCCCAACCCGTGGAGATCAGGGAAGACTTCCTGGAGGAAGTAAGCCTTGAGCAAAATCCTAATGGATAAATAGGAGTTGGCAGAGAGAAGTAGGAGGAAGGGCATGCTAGGTGGAGGAGAGAGCCTGGACAAAGGTCTGGAGGTAGGAAGGAATGCAGGGCATGCAAGACACTCATGGGAGCACATGAACTTCATATGAATGAAATCCTACAGCATGTCCTCTTGGGCACATGCTTTATGATGTTCTTTCATGTCCTTTCTCCCACAGGATCTTCCCAACAATTCAGTGAGGCAAGCAGGGAAAGAGATGCATCCCGCTATGGTCTAAATGTTTGTGTTCCCCCCCAAATATTTATATATATATATAATTTTTTTTAAGATGACCGGTAAGGGGATCTTAACCCTTGACTTGGTATTGTCAGCACCACACTCTCCCAAGTGAACTAACCAGCCATCCCTATATAGGGATCCAAACCTGTGGCCTTGGTGTTATCAGCACCACACTCTCCCAAGTGAGCCACGGACAGGCCCTCAAAATTTATATTTTGAAACCTAACCCCCAAGGTGATGGTACTAGGAGGTGGGGCCTTTGGGAGGTGATTAATGGGATTAGTGCCCTTATAAAAAGGCCCCAGAGAACTGCCTTGCCCCCTCCACATGTGAGGACATAACTAACAGGCACCATCCATAAACCAGAAAGCAGGCCCTCGCCAGACACCAAGTCTACTGGCACCTTGATCGTGGACTTCCCAGCCTCCAGAACTGAGAGAAATAAATTTCTATTTATAAGCCATCCAGTCTATGATATCCTGTTATAGAAGGCTGAACAGACTAAAATATCCCCATTTTGCTGACAAGATGCCCAAGGCACAGTGAGAGTGATTTTCAGAGTAAGTGGCATAGCACAAAGGGACCCTGCATCTTCTAACTCTACCTGAGCGGGCAGCGTTGTGGGAAGGAGGGTATCTCAGAAACACTCCTATGCTCCTATGAGGTGAAGGGGCGAAGGGCTCCAGAGGTGTACTCTGACACACAGGGGGAATCTGGATATCATTTTTCATTCATTCTTCACGTTTACTGAGTGCCTACTATGTGCCAGGCACTGTTCCAGTTGCTGGGCATTCAGCAGTGAACAAAACAGGCAAAAATCCCTACCTTCAAGAAGCTAACCTTTCTAGTGGGGGAAACAGACTTTGGATTTTACTGCAAATGTTGTCTAAAGGTGGGATGGTCCATTTGACTTATCATCTTGACTAGGCTATAGTCCTAGTTATTCAATGAAGTGCTAATCGGTGTGTCACTGTGAGGGTATTTTATAGATGTGATTCAAGTCCATAATCAGTTGACGTGGAGGAAGAGAAATTATCCTAAACAATCTGGGGGGCATGACTCAATCAGTGCAAAAGTCTTAAGAGCAGAGCTGAGGCTTCCCTGAGGAGGAATAAATTCTGCCCGTGGACAGCAGCTTCAGCCCATGCCTGAGAGCTCCAGCCTGCCCTTGCCTAGCTGGCCTCCATAATCACATTAGACAATTTCTTGCAATAAATTTCATAATCTAGATCTCCTACTGGTTCTGCTTCTATGCTTGATCCTGGACTAGTACACAATCACTGGAGGATTTATAGTGGAGGACTTCCATGATCACATACATATATGATTATATGTAATATATAACATAGCATAATGGTTTCATTTCTAGCCTGTGCTCCCAAAGCCTCCCTCATAGTCCTTTATGGTCACTTTCCCATCCCAAATGCAATCATTACTCCTATCATGGATCAATTCTGCCTGTTTTTGAACTTCCTCTAAATGGAACTCTACAGCATGTGCTTCTTTGTCCATGCTTTCCATTTTAAAAGGGTCCCTGTGGCGAGAATGGGATCTGAGAACTGTGAGGGGCTGCTGCACCAGTCTGGGCAAGCGATGATGGGGACGTAGCAGAGGTGGTGCAAGGTGGTGAATAAGGGATAGATTTTGTTAGTAGAGTTGACAAGACTTGCTGACACATTGGTTGAGGGGCATGAGGGAAAGAAAAGACTCAAGAAAACTCCAAGGTTTTGGCCTGAGGAACAGGGTGAATGGTAGTGCCATTTACCAAAGAGAGGGCACAGATGGAAGGCAGAATCAACAGCTGAGTGGTGGACGTGTTAACTCTGAGTCTCAACTAAGAACACTTCAATGTACACAGTGCTCTTCATCAGGACACAACATATTGCACAAAACATGCACACCTCCAAGGATGGTACACTTTTTTTTTTTTTTCTGACCGGTAAGGGGATTGCAACGCTCCGCACGGTGTTGTCCCCACCACGCTCAGCCAGTGAGCACACCAGCCATCCCTATATAGGATCCAAACCCACGGCCTCAGCGCTACCAGCACCGCACTCTCCCGAGTGAGCCACGGGGCCGGCCCAAGGATGGTACACTTTGGAAAACTTTTTTGACAATTTGATAAACTGTCAAATTTGACAAATTTGACTTTTTTGACAGTGTTATATAAAGTTAAACATACACTTGTCATATGACCCAACAACCCAATTCCTAGACATTTACTCAAACAGACATGTACGTGAATGTTCACAGCAGCTTTATTCATAACCACTAAACTCTGGAAAAATCTTAAATGTCTACAAACTGGAAAATGATGAACTGTGCTATGCCCACACAACAGAATACTGCTCAGCAAGAAAAATCGACAAGCTACCCATACGTGAAACAATATGGGTGAATCTCAAAAGTGTCATGCTAAAGGAAGACAGACACAAAAGACCACGTGCTGTATAATTCCATTCCTGTGAAATTCTAGAAAAGGGAAAACTATAGTGACAGGAATCAGATCAGTAGTTGCCAGGGGCCGGGGGTCAGAGTATGTAGGAACTTTCTGGGCTGACGTGAATATTCTGTACCTTGATTGGGTAGGGGTTTCGTGAGTGTATACATCTGTCAGAATCAGGGCGAGTTTAGTGTGAGGAGAGTAAGGCAATGAAGCACTTAACTCAGCCTCAAAATTTAAGGTGACAATCCCCATACTGGTCAGCTGCTAAAAAAGAAAAAAAAAGAAAGAAAGAGAGAGAGAGAGAGAGAGAAAGAAAGAAAGAAAAAAATTTAAGGAGATACCAAAAAACTCAATAATCAAGATAAATAATACTTGTCAGGTGGGAGGGGGAAGCGGGAGGAGGGAGGGAGGTTTTGGTAATGGGCCACAATAATCAATCACATTGTATATCGACAAAATAAAATAAATAAATAAATAAATAAAAAGATAAATAATACTATAATGTAATATCTTAAAAAATCAAAATTGATGCAAAAAATTCATGATAAGTGAAATATCAAAATTTTAAATAAAGACAAGATTTTTTTATGCTCAGTCTTGACACTGGGTAAAACTGAAAAACTCATCAAACTATACACTTAAAATGAGTGCACGTTATTGTGTGTAAACTATACCTCATAAAGTTATTTTCAAAAGAAAAAGGGAGCAATAGACCCTGACTTCTGCTAATTCTAATCTATTTCTGAGACAAAACATTCTCCCTGTGGTGTTGGCCAAGGACACCTATTAGAGGACATGCATAAGCAATTGGCAGCGCTTTGCCATGAGACTGATTCGGAAACTTCTAAAAGCTCATACTTGACAGTTCTCACTCAGTAGAACAGGGGTGCAGGGGCTGCCTTAGAACTCACAGCGTGGAAGTCCAGGCGGGACTGTGAACTCAGCTACGGGGTCCCTTAGCTGCTTAGTCATACGCTTCCCTGAGTGCTTAGCAGAAAGGGAGAACATTTTTGAAAAACTTTGTCTGCTGGCGAGGATGAGAAGCTACTGGGATGCCCATACTCAGGCAGTGCATGTGTAAAATGGAGCAAGCACTTTGTAAAACTATTTTTTGGTATCTGCCTAAAGTGGAATCTACGTCCACACTGTGACCCAGCGATTCCAAGCCTGGGTAGATCTCCCCAATATGAGTTAGTTTATATGTTGCCCCAAAAGACATGTACTAGAATGTCCCTAGGAGGACAATTTATAATAGCCACAAACTGGAAACAGCTCAAGTACTTATCAATAGTAGAACGGATAAATAAAGTGTGTCCTATTCACATAACGGAGCGCCACACAGCAATAAGAATGAACAATCTACTGCTACATGCAACAGCATGGATAAATCTCACAAACATAACGTCTAGCAAAAGAATAAAGATACACAAGAGAACATTCTGTATGATTCCATTTAAAGAAAGTACAAAAGTCATGGGCCGGCCCGGTGGCGCACTCGGTTGAGTGCAGCGCTTGGGAGCCCGGCGGCGCTTCCGCCGAGGGTTCGGATCCCATATAGAGACCGTCCGCTCACTGGCTGAGCGCGGTGCGGGCGCGACACCGAGGGTTGCGTTTACCGGTCACGAAAAAAACAAAAAGGAAAAAAAAAAAAAAAAGAAAGAAAGTACAAAAGTCAGCAAAACTAATGTATGCAGTTGGAAGTCAAGATAGTGAAGATAGTGATTATCCTTGGGGGTTAGTGGCTGGAGGAGTGAATGAGAGGGTTTCCAGGGTCCTGGTCAGTGAGTTTCTTGATCTGAGAATTCGTTGAGCTGTTTGCCTATGATTTGTGCTTTTCCTATAAGTACTTTATTTTCTATAAAAGGTTTAAAAAATGAAAAAAATGTTTTTGATGCAGAATAGGCCAATGAGGGGAAAGAGAAAAATAAAAGCCTACTTCTTTCTTAAAATTGTCT